GATTTGATATATTCTAAGTATCTTTCGGACGGCTGCGGCAGCTACACAAATGCTTATAACATTCTCCTTCACTGTGCACGGGTGTATGATCCACTAGAAGTTTCATGTGATCTACCCCCATCCAAATCTAGGAAAAATAAGTCTGACGATCCTACAGACTGAGACCACCATGCCTGATCCAGTGTTACCTAAATATCGCATTTATGTGTTTCTGAACGTTACAGCTGAAGTGAAATGGGGTCCTATCATGCTGGAGCCATATATCAAGGCAGAGCCATGTTTGATCTGTCGATCATTTCACAGTTCGGTAAAAAACTTTCTACAAAAATAATCTTATAACACCCGTCCGTCCAAATGAATAGACATATTAACTGTTTCAGATCAATGTCAGATAAAACACTGACAGCAAACCGGTTAGTGTTACACATATTTGTGTAACATGGGGGTTCTTCCACCCACTATATATGCCAATTCTGGTAACTTTTTTCTGGTGAAATATACCTCATCTGTGAATAAGACAGAAGCAAGAGAAAGGAGGTCCACCGCTCTGTTTTTGCACATAGCACTGAGAAAAAGCAACTTTCTGTGGTAGCTTTTTGCGCTGCTCATAATTCTCCAGTAGCTCGTAATTTCTGCACCGCTGCTAGTGGTATGGCTACACTTTTTCACATAAAACTTTGATGAGGTTGTGCAAATGTTTGGGTGTTCGGGATGCGCCTAGCTCGATACAGGGACCTGTTTGAGATTATGGGGCCCTTTATAGTCCAGATATTATATATCAGTTCCTAATATGATTTTTTAATATCTAGAATGTTTTTTTGGGGGGAGCTCCAAGAAAGCGGGGGTCCTAAGCTATAGCTTGTGTAGCTTTAACGTAAATTCTGCGCTGGCTGCGTATGCTAGATACATATCTGCTAACTTTTCATTTGTGGAAACATCCATGTTACTATCTCTGCGGGTGGTTGTCGAAATGATGGTATTCCTGCGCCGTCGTGTTATTAGTTCCTCAACAACTTCATCTATTTACGTTTCGATTGCTTTTACGACCCTGTATTACTATCCGATTCTGATTCATTTCTTCGAATAACCTAACCCTTCTAGAACCCTTCTTCTTCTTCTTCCAAGCACCTACGAAGACATATTCCTCTGTTCATTTCTTTCGAAAATTTAAAATGTGCTAAAGAGTCTTTTGAAACACGCATTCGTTGATTAATTTTTCACAATCATGGAATTTCGGCCGTAAGAAATAAAGCAATTATTTTCCTAAAATTTTGTCAACTAAATAAAAGGCTTTTTTGGTATGGGGCATAGTTTCACCTCTTTATTAGACTATAATATACGCATATTACTAGGGTTGTTCTGCTTCTTGAAAGAAAAGTATGGACACTGTTGATCAAAATATATACACAAATGAATAATAATGAACTGTTTACAGTCCAATAAATATTCATTCATTTTTAATTAAAACATTCATAATTTTTAGTAAGAACTTTCATTAAAAATATTGCATCAGTTTCTTTATTATAAGTTTGCAGAATCCAACTCAAAATATTTCCAATTATTGAGATAAGGAATTTGGAAAAAAATAAGATTTTCAGTTCGCTCGGTTTTAAAAGATCCTTTACAAAACAAGTATAACAGATTTAAAATCATTGTAGCATTCAATACCCCCCTTTTTTTAAAATTCCTACTATTAGCTCACACACTTACTATATCTTGTTCAAATTTTCAATCGTTAATGAAATACTTTTTATTCATTCACTCAAGTTCAAATACATTTTTATAACTTGTAGTGGATGATACTTGAGGTTAACGCAGTTTTTTCATATATAAAAATTTTTAATAAAAATAAAATAAAAATTTAATAAAAAGTTAATAAAATAAAAATTTTCTTTGTTGACCTTTTTTATATTCACACTATACAGCTCACCTTTATTTAGGAATTGACTTAAAAAAATTGTTTATATTACTTGTTTGTGGTGCCGTTAACCTAAAAATTTATGAAATTCCTGAATGTCTGTGTATTTTTACTACTCCCCTTTTTAATTAAATTACAACAAGAAAAGGCAACGAAAGAGCACTTTCTACAAATCCCTTCTTCCCCAAAACTTGCCTTTGCGTTAATTTTGCAACAAAATATAATTTTTGTCGTGAGTTGAATAATAACGTACATTGCCTCATTTTCTTAATAATCACGCTTTATTACGAAAATGAAGAATAAATATTTTAACTTGATGGATGTAAGTTTCTTACAGTAATTAGAGACATCTACAGATACTATCAAAATTGGCTGCATTTAACTCGTCATGAAACTTCCTATATTGCAAAAGCTGACGGAACATTATTTGCTAAAAATAAAGATATTTAATTTACCGAGGTACACCGACATTACGGTGTATTTAAATACAAACAATCCGTAGTACATATGTGTAATTAGTAAATCTAATGTTATTAGTTCACAGAAACATAAAATATTTATAACATTATATAAATAATTAATAGTAATAAAATTTACACCTGTCAAATGTTTACACGCGAAATTGTTAAGTTTTATGCAGTCTGTCAAGACTTCAAACGACAACTCACGACTCAACTATAAATCTTCAGCTCGGATGATTATATTCCTCTAAAGATTTTCTTACAAAGGACGCGAATGGAATTCGTAAAATTGTTAATATTAAACTGACTGGTAAATTCAGCTAGTTAAAGAGAAAACTTGATGTTCAAACTCCTATATTTTCTCTTCGTTAGTTTATTCCTCATAAAGATCGCGTTGTGTATTCATAATGTAGTTCCCCTCTGATATATTCACACTATCTACTTCACCTTTATTCATTCTTTAAAAAGTTTCTTTGTAAAGATATTCCTGCTGTGAGAAATCGAATTCAAATGTTTAGCCGTAATAAATTATGGACACCAAGTTTCTTTATTTATTCTAGTTTCCGACAATTTTGTGTTTGAAAGTTGAACCAAAACTTTTTTCTCCTACGTCATTCCGTATTTGCATTTTTGTAAACTTTACATAACGAAAGCAATTAGCAGAAGGATATTTTTCTCAATTGCTGTAAACTGAAATATCTGAATTTCACATTTTCTCCTGCTGTTTTAATGGATGAGGTTTATATTTGTAAAACGGATTGAGGAGAGTAAGAACCAGATATATTTGGAACGTTACAGAAATAAATACCCTACATTCATTTCTTATGAAAAGCTGAAATGTAACAATCCTACATATCTTTTTACTTGTTGTGCTATCAGACTATATACTTTCCTTACTTTTTAAACATATCATTTAACTTTCTTAAGACGGAGGAAATGAACAGGGACTGATACTTGGGAAAAGTATTTATTCCTACTGGAAATAAAAACTGATGCTTACGTTGAAGTCTGCAAAACTATGCAGAAACGGAATAGTCAGCTTAAAATACGATCAACTTCCGAGGGAAGGAGTGCTTCAGACCATCATAATTTTAAAGCCCAGAAGCCATTTGGACTGAATCCAAGAAATGCTTTCCATTTCTTAGTCTCAATGTTCCCCTCTTGGGATGCAGAATTCGGTCCCCTCGGGTATATGCAGCAGTTTCGCGTGCCACTTCTTGTAGACAGACGAGTCGCGTTGTCTAACGTGGAATGCTTAATTCATATTATCTGGAAAGGAAAAGGAATCCGGTGGAAAGACTTCCAGAAAACGTTGAACAATAAAAGGAACTTGTCGAGGGAACAACAAACAATGGGCAGAAGGGTCATTTTTGATTGGAGATAAAAACTATTTTAGTGCCAGCGTTAAAAAGTAAATCGGAATAATTATAAAAACAAATTATGTGTTTACTAATGTAAAGTTTTCAGGTCTGATGCAACAATGGCGAAAGGGCCCAGACTTTTAACCTTATTAAAACTACGTCAATAGCTTCGTTAAAAAATAGAGAATCTCATATTCCTTTGTTCTGAGATGTTCTTTACCCCCAATGAATTGTTTGGTAAAATAAAATAAAATTTAACAAAAAGTAAATAAAATAACATTTTTCTTTGTTTAAATCATTGAGTTTTTTATTTACTTTTTATTAAATTTTATTGAAGTTATTAATCAGCATGAAAAACATTGCTTCATACAACGCTATTATAACATCCTTGTGACAATATCTACATACGATTATTATTTATGAAAATTGTAATTATCTTCTTTACCAGCATAAAAAACGCACGATTATGGAAAAATAAAAACGCAATAATCTGATTTCAGTCGCGTTACATCGAATCTAAAACTGCACACAGCCAGGCAGTTTTCAGCTTTAAATAATATATACACAAACATGCCTTTATATACACAAACTTCTTATAATTTTATGCTTGTCATGTATATTTTGGGACTAGGAAATCAAATATTCATTCTGTAGATTAAGAGATTTATGTTCTGCGCTTAGGTACAACTTGTGGGGGGGGGGTTCGAGAAAAATAAATAAGAAAGAAGTGAGGCATTTAATTTTTTAACTTTTCACATTCTATGCGTTTCGTCCTCATTTATCGCTAAATTGCTAGTACGAATTACAAATGCATAGTAGAGATCGCTTTTTTTAACCAATGTAAACCGAAACGTTTCCGAGTGTTTCGGCTAAATCTGCTTAAATTATTGAGTTTAAAAATAAAAATATCACATCTGTGTCTCTAATAGCAAAACAGGATAAAAAAAAAAACAAACGATAATTTAGTAAAGCTTCGGGGCACGATTAATGAAAATGGATGCTACCTTTTTTGTGTTTAAACTGAATGCAGGAGGCAATTATTTTCTTAAAGTTTTTTTAAGGATCTTTTTTCAATAAAGGATTAAGAATTTTTCTTTTTAAAGATATTTCCTTCATAGAACCCTCATAGTATGTATTTAAGAGTTAAATAAGTTTTTTGTTACCATTTATCTGTAATTCGGCAATTCATAGAGAAAGTTTGGAATATAACTCTTAAATGATCCTTAAATGGGAATATGCGAAAGTAAAGCAGTTACCAACCTGTAACACCCTCTTCGACAAGCCCGTTTTCTGTGCCAGCTGCTTCAAGTCTTTCGCATCTGGATTTTGGTTGATGGCAAAGTAAGATTTCATCGTTCTTAGTTGATGGTGCTTGAAGGACGTGCGCATGCGCTTCGTCCGTTGTCCTCCGTTGCTGGATAAGGGAGGAGAAGACTGTGAGGTTGAGTTCGTGCCATCGAGATGAGAAAGGTGGAGATTGCAAGCTGTGGAGTCGATGGGTGATAAACCTAAATGTGAAAAAGTTAGACATTGCAATAAGACCTAAGTAAAGACTAGGATTTTAAGTTGACCTAACATCTACAAGTCATATAAATTAGAAAGAATTTGACAATCTCTATTAAAAGACTTATAAAATTGTTTGGTATTTCTTGGTCCTAATCAAGAATTAAATAAATTTATCAACCGTGATTCATAACATTCCAATGCTTAAAAGTTCGCAGGTATTTTAACACATTCTTGTTTGAAATATAACAAATTATTGCCCAGTTGCCTTCTAGGTGGCACCTAACAGAACATAAACATTTGCTTCAGTGCTCTTACCATTCACGAAAGCACTAGTGAAATCCCACTTTTGATATTCGTTATAAACCCACTATCACGTCGTTTTTGAACAGTTCGAATTGCGAAAAAATTATGACCGTTTAAAAATCATGGTGACAGGAAAAAGCAACAGAAGTGAGAAATCTGAAAAAAAGGAGTCTCTAGAGTGAATGAGGAAGATGTTTTGAGATTTTATGTATTTTTGCCTTGCCGCGAAGTAAGAACTGGATTGATTGCGTAATATAAATCTAATAAAATTCGATAAAATAAACTTAAATGAAGTGCAAAATGTGTACGGATTACAGAATATTCAATTTAATAATTTATTTTAGCTAGTAACATATTAAATCAAAGACATCGGTAGAGTATCGCTTCATCCCCAACAGTGTTCAAAGCGACGCTTAATAGAATTTAAGATCGCGAGAAATTCATACACATGTTTTGTTAAAATTATCTGAATTTAAATTTAAGGGGAAAAATCGGATTAAATATGCTGATGCTCATCATTCTAAATTTTATTAGATATTCAGACTTCTCACGTGTATTGTTTTTGATGTAAAATGACACAGTATTGTGAATATTAAATTGATGTAGTGCACTTTTTAAATAAGACGGAAAATTAAATTACGAATTTCTAAGTAGAGATAATAGCTACATTCTCTTAATTTTAATCAAAGCGAAGTTCATGTTTTTAAAAGCTGCAAAGCGATTCTGTAATTTAACTAAACCGCAAAATAAAAATTACAAACTTTTAAAGAATCTCTTTAAAATAAGCCCAATGTCTTATTTAAATTTCGTATATCAGAATCTTTCACAATCGTAATGATTTCCTTTCATCATTATAAAGTGATAACTCAATTAAAAAAGCGTAAAATATCCATACGTATGCCAACATTTAAGATATCATAATCCTCAACAAACTTTTAAAATGCAAAATATTCAATTCTCACATTTAAAAGAAAGCAAAAGAGAGAGAAATTTCTTTTACGACGGGATTTCCGAAATTTAATTAAGAGTAACGTATCAAAAATATAGGAGAAAAAACTGAACGAGGAGGAATTGTTATGACAGTTTCGTTAAATTAAATGTCACGCAAAGAGTGCTCTTCATTTACTTCATTAGCAACTATTCTTTCGAATCTTAATTAAAAACTCCGGTTGTTAAATACTGTTCGCAAGGAAAAAGAATGAAAGACCTGTCAATGAGAAAACAGTAATTTGATTTAAAATTTGCGTAAAAAATCAGTTTTTTTTCTCATTCGAATTACATAGTTCATTTATTTCTAGTTCGTATGAAAGGTTTATTAATAACATTCAATTAAAATGTCATTTCATCAGCAGACAGAAAGTACGAGCTTCTATACTATATTAAAAAGCAAACTTCTTCCAGTATAAAGCTTACTGATGGATCGTTTTAGACGAAAGTCCAGAAGCCCATTAATGGCGGACCAGGACGTAATATTATTCGGTGATTAAAACTGTAAGCATAGTTGACTGCATAGTTAATTGCTACACAAAAATAAGAAGCTACACAATTATTTCTGGCAAAATCTTCCCCAGTTTAAAACATAATAATTCCCATCCTTTTAAAATCTGAAGCCACGTAGATTCGATTGCATTGGATTTTTTTCACTGCACTGGACTAAAAGCCCGCAGTAACTATCTGTTTAAAAGGAGAGATAACCTTCGTGGAGAGATTTTCTACGAAAACTTCCTCATATTGCCACAGGAGGAAATCAGGAAAACACCCATGCAGCTAGCACATTCTTCGGGAGCTAAACCTGTGTCAAACTACCTGGGTCAATGGTCTTACCGATTTGGCCATTAATGGGTCCACCTACGACCATCCACGAAAATTAGTAATTTCAGCCCAGCTGTAATTTTTGGACCGGAATACAATTAGCTACACAAGTATTTTTGCATTTCTTCTAGGTATAAACGAAGGTCAATATTTCTTTAAAAACAGTTTTTTCTCTATAAGCTGAGAGATTTTGAGAATTTTGCAATAATTATGCTATCCATTTTCAAATAAAAACATAAACATATATCGTTCTCGGAATAGAAGAGAAAAGCATAGATTAAAGAATATATAAATTAGATTAAACATTTAGCTCAGTACCAACACTCACATTATCATTGATGGGAAAACATATTTCCTTTTTTTTTTTAACTTCAACTCTGTAACTTTTAAATCTATTATGAATTATTTGTAGGTTTAATTTAATGGGATTTTTCTGTTCTTGACAGAATTTGTAACTTGAAATTGAGAATATCGTAGTTCTTCGCATGTGAACGTAAGTCGTAACATTTCTTAGGAGAAATAAAGTCCTTAAACGCTTTACCATAATAAACTGTTCACGTATTGCGGTCTTAAAAGTTTCTTTCAGATATGTAAACATGGTAAATTTAAAGAATTTCTTGTTTTATTAACCAGATGTAAACTATGCAATATACTTAACACACATATGTTAACTCGCTTAGATCGATAGCTCCTGTACTTACCCCTCTCTTATTTTTTGCATAGGAACAAGAAAGCGGAAATGCCTATAAAGCGTCAGCGAAAATATGAAAGATTGATGAATATGACGTACCAGAATTGAATGAAGTAAGTAGTTACATTTCTGTTAAAAAGCCGGAAAATTAAACAGTAAAGATAAGAAATAGTACTAAAGACAGCTTAACAAAAATCAAGAAAAACACAAGTTATTTAACAAATAACAGACAATTTTAAAAATGGAGGAAATATGAATATAAAACGCAGCTTAATTTGTTTAAGCCGCGATTTTTTTCAGATTATTTAAAATAATATTGAGATGTATTTAACTGTATTTCGTATAAAAATTTGAACTGAGTTTACCGAATCTAGCCAGACATCATCTTTGATTTTACTCTTTGTACATTTCTTTGTGGTAATGTTTGCATTGTTTATCCTGTGGCACTCAGTATTGAGATGAACTTCCACTTGCCAAGGTTTCAGCTGTTTCAAAATAGTTTTTATAGTTACTCGGTTGTTTAATTTTCGTGCAGGCACTTTCGTCGTTGTTTAAGTTAAATGTGGTATGACATGTTTCATACTGCTCTCATATTTCTTGCCATTAATTTACGCCACGCTTTAATTGCATTTTTCGTAAGTTCCTGGGCTTACCAGCGGCCGAGTGGTAAAGTCGCTGAACACTGGGAGTTCGGTCCGAGGTTCGAATCCCGCGAACGGGCTGGCTGCATGGGTGTTTTCGTGGTTTTCCCCATGCGTAAGTGTATACGAGCCAGTTTCCCTTAGAAAGTCCTCCACGAAGGCATCCCTCCCCTTACGCAGATAGCCCTAATGTGCTTTGCCATAATTAAATACACCACACCACCGTAAGTTTCTGATCTTGTAGCTCTTCGAAATTCCATTAAGGTAGGTTCATTTTCGAAAAAAAAAATCATCTTAAAATTAAAAAATAATTGTAGGTATTAAAAAATATTTGTGTGTTCTAAATTAATTTTTATCGATTGAAATTTAATGTTTTTAAAATTGCAAACTATATTATATTAAATCCGGCCTCGGAGTCGGAATACGCGAGGTCCTACCGTCCTTAAAAATGGAATCGGATTTTTCGCACTCGATGAACGAGGATTGCATTTTTTATACAAATGATGAAAAATGTAATTACCGGAATTATGTCTGGATAGGGCATCCGCCCCTGCTAAGTCTCCATTTTTCTTCTTCCTCGGCCTGCCTTTCCGGCCTGTCGTGACGGTCCCGCCGCACGTCGTCGAGAATGGGCCGTACCCCAAGCAATGCCCCACCGTCGGCCTCTCCGCCAGAAGACTTTCCTCCGCCCCAGGATGCGCGAGAGGATGGAGAGCGGGATGTTCGTCAGCCGGCGGCGAGGCGAAATAGTCTCGGGACATCATCTCGTAATGCGCTCGGCAGTAGACAAGGTTATCTCGCAGTCCGAAGTAATCTCCTTGCGTCAGGGCCGTGTTACACCACGCGCAAGTGAAACAATGGAGGTGAAATACAAGATCTCGAGCCCTCATCACAAGCTCGGAAGCGAAGATCCCGTGCTGGCAACGAGAGCACCGCTTCACAGCAAATAATCTGCAAAAACAACAAAGGAAAAATTTTAATATTTTAACAAGAACCTTCATCAAAAGCACATGCATTTTCAAGCTGAAAACTATGCGAGAATTTCTCATCAGTTGATGAGATAATAATATTCCTTCGTGCAGGAAAAAAAAATTACGTAAAATACATTCAGGCTTCTGTTATAGTAGATCAATTATGAATGAAGTCATATTTCAACATGGAATAATTTCTTTTTTTTAGATATAAGAAAATATTTGCAAAAGTCGGCATTATTTATCACATACCATACATATATTTAACACATACGTACATTTAAATATGCATGATTAAATATTTGAAGTTTTTTCGTAACGTACACATCTATGTAAACTGATGGCATTATGCGAGCATGCGTAATAATTAGATTTCGCTTTCAGTTCCATTCAAAATTTATTACAAAAAATAACGGAAATCAATTTTTTTGAGGATGAGTACTTTTCTCGAAAATGATTGATGATTAAAAAAACGTATTAATTCTTTTAATATAACAAAATGTTAACTATATAATTTTCTCCTTCTCTTCTGTATGCCTTCGTGGTGTAAAGGTTGACACTCGAAAGGTTCAGGTTTGATTCCCTGCGAGAGCATTGCACATTCTTCACGTTTCCTGCTTCAAAAAATATGACTCTACAAGTGGCGCCCGAACTAAAATGTGGTGGATGGATGCTTCACGACCAGGCATTTGGCGATAGGGTCCCCTAAACCCTAGTCGCCCTTTAAAAGGGAGAGTATATAAGGTATTTTTCCCTCCCTTTTGCATGCCTTCGTGGTGTAACCGTTAACACACTTGGTGCGTATTCGAAAGGCCTAGGTTAGAGTCCCGTCGACGACATTGTAACTTTTTCACGTTTCCTGTTTCAAAAAATTCTAATCTCTCTACTGGAAACATATAATTTAGGATTTGTCTTAATTTAACGTATTATGATGACAGTAATACTATTTATTTTATTTTATATTTTAAATAAGACATTTTAACAGGAAATATAAATGTGAAATGGCACATATAAAGGACAGGAATAAATGTCTTATAAATTTGCATAAACTGATGCTAAATAATTCTATGCTTTATACAGTAAACTATGAATGAAAAGAAATCTTATCATTGACGTATTCGGGGAGGGGGAGAAGATATATATTAGAACAAAATAATATCTTCAGTTATAGCTGGTTTAAAACAGGGTTTGATAAACTTTTTTTTCAGTCGCGACCCCTTTTTATCACTACGATTCTTTCGCTACCCCCAAGACCCATAATATTTACGGAAATTCTGTGGAACCCCATAAGCACTGCGCAAATCCGACACACGCGTGTGTGAAACTGTCCATTTCTTCATTTGCACTCTAATACACTATTGCAGTTACAGGTCATGAACTTTAATTTCTAATTTTAAGACATAGAACAATGTGAAAATTTTAAATAAACAGACGAAATAACAGCGTCACGTGCAAAGCAAGTAAAATGAACGTTTCTATTATAAACAGAATGCGTCGAAACGTTCTCCTTTTGACCCTCTGCTGCAGGTTCTGCGATCCCCAGTTTAAGAAACGCTGGTTTAAAAGAAAATTTTTAAAAATCCTCATCAGTTTGGAAGAATAACCCCTAAATCTTTAGCCAACATACGAAAAACGTTTTTTGAAGAACATTTAAGCTAAAAATTAGAAAAACGTTTTTTGAAGAACATTTAAGCTAAAAATTAACGAAAAAAAGATTTCTCTTCATAAATTTAAAGCCTATCAGAAATGAATACGAAAGAAAGCATAAAAATGCTTTTGTTCACGAAAGATTTGAAATAATCATTGATAGCGAAATGCAGATACAGAACGCGTCGCAATTTACATTTGCGAAGAGAGGGGGTGGTAGGGCTGTGAAAATGGTGTTAGGCGACGGTTGACGAAAGATAATTTAAACGTAACAATGAAAAAAGAGAAATGTGTTTTAAGTAAGCTTATATGCTGTGAAGACTTCAACTTCATAATGGTTTTCACAACTGCAAAAAGTTTTATTGAAACACTGAAATGTCTTCATAACTGAAGCATTTTAACGAAAACCGTTACTATGTTTAAAATATGTGATTAACAGTTAGAAAAGATACTGTTTCAGAATTTAAGATAAAGAGCATTTGTGAGTAAAGTGAATTTGTAAATAGTCACGACTAACTTTTTCTCTTCACATTTCCGGAAGACGATGTCATTTTTTGAATTTTTGCCATTCCTTGGCACAAAATCGGAATTTGAATGGTTTTTATTAGTAGAGTTCATTGGATTTAGCTAAAATTCACTTTATTGGAACGTGTAGGATCAAATATTAAATACATATTTGAATTTTTCTGTGAAATTAGCATAGCCGTTTGTAAATTAACTTAGATTGGAAAAAAAAAAAAAAAAAAAAAGAAAAGAAAAGAAAAGTAGCATGTGAAAACGTATCTTTCGTGTTTCACATTCTGAAATTTGAAAGTGCATTGAAGTAAAATAAAATAAAATGAATGAAAAGCCGTTATTAAAAAAACGAAATTCAATTTTTATTTAGTACTCATTTAATGCTATTAAAAATATCATTTTAAATTTACCTCAATTAGCCTGTCTCAATTAGCAATTAGCTCTGCCTCAGCGGAAGGTCAAGGAAGCTTTTCTTAAGAAAACTCGCATAGGGAAGTTATGAAAACTCTCATACAAGCTAATCAATTCACCAGGATTTAAACTCCGGTCGAACTAGCAGTGGCGCATCAGTTTTACCGCTCGATTGCAAGTGAAACTACTATTTTAAGTTTAAATGAACTGAAACTTAAAATGGTAGTTTCAAGAACTATATGTTTATTAAAAACTTCTTAGCCATAAATATGTTTAAACATAATCACAAATGAGAATGCTCATTTTCAACTAACACAATCCCTTTAATACAAGCACATAAACCAAAATAAAAAATTCTCAGTTAAACGTAAACAGATATATTAAATATAAAGAGAATACACAGACGTTTTAGAATAATTTTCGATCTGCTCTTTATACCCAAAACAAACAATACGTGTCCCCATTTTTCCCAAAATACACATTGTGTCTCAAATAGGTGATGATAGAAAATATCAATATAATTTGTTTTTTAAACAAATTTTCTTTTTTTTATACATAAAAAGCAATAAATGTATATTGCCTGCAAAATCAGAAAAGGGTTTAATATTATTATATTATTCTTTAACTTAAAGATAAACCGCAAAGATACAAAAATAATATCAAAAGCAATAAACCACAGCAGATTAAAATATTCAAAATCAGAATAGAATGCAAACGCCGAAACAAATATTTTAGGAGTCCCGTGTTATGATCGAACAAGGGGAATTCTCCTTGTTATAGCATAACAAAAAATATACTTATTAAGTACAACAATAGAGTCAACAATAGCGTCAACGTCCGTCAAACCAAATTTCCACATGAGATTAGAAACAAAAGTTAGTAATAATTAAAAAATAAGAAGAATAAAAACGGTGTAAAATTTCAGTATTTCTCTTAAGCAAAGAAGAGATGATAACTTATCTAAACCTAAAAATGGAAAAGTTGCTAAGTCAACTAAACCTAAAATTGAAAAAGCTATGACTTAAAAACAGGAACCAAAATGAGTACTATAAAATAATTTAAATGCACACATTTTTAAAAACTGCACAAAATCATCATTTCCGTTGCATTATTTTCATGATATACTTTTGACTTTCAAATGAATCAGATATTCTTATTTGTGTCCATTGTGGTATTTATACCTTTTACGGATGTTTTATCTCTGTACTCAATTTATTTACGTTTGATGTAAATAATTTATCTGCGTAATTTGTCAGTTGACAAGAAGGAGAAATTAACAAAATTTCTATAAAAATACTGAAATATATAAAATCGGCGGGAATTTTTTCAAATTAAATCAAAATGAAGGCAAAAGTTTGGTACGACATGATAATTGCACTAATTAGAATCGCAAGCTAAACTGAAAAATGTTATCTTAAAAGCAAAATTTTTGTAATCTGAATGGAACATTTTCTTCTTAAATATTTCTTGCATGAATGAAAAACTATTTCGCACCAGCTTAAAATAAGTATTATATAATTAAGACACAATAACACGCCGAACAAATACTAATTCAGAAGTCAAACAACAAAAATCAGCGTTATATTTTTAAATTTTCACAGAAAATAGGTGATGATAGAAAATATAACGCTGATTTTTGTTATTTGACTTCTGAATTAGTATATGTTTGAGTGGATCAACCTAAACATACTAAAAGCTTTCTAAATATTTGAGAATATGCTTATATATATAGCTTATGTGACTTTTTTAAAGAAAAGGAATTTTTAAAAGCTAATGCTAAAAAATGCATTTGACACTATAGTTCCTTAGCAAAACTGTAAAATCATGTAACAACAACAAACATTACTAAAGTAGTAAAAACTAAATGTAAAAATTACAAATCGAGATAATTTGAAAATCAAAAAGGGAAGAAAAAATTAAGAAATTTAAACGCACAAAATATTTTAAAAGGACGCTGGTAAGAAATTAAATACATTTCAAATAGACAGTAAATATGTACAAAAAATTGCAACAAATGGCAAATTAGCTCAAAAGTTTGAGCCGGATTTATCAAGGGAAAAGCAGCTCAAAACTTGAATTAAGCTAACACCTTTAGCGCGTTTCGTCAAATGATAATAATTGAGACTATAGACGTAATTTCATTAGTAGAATAATCCAACTTTATAATCTTAAAAAAAAGTAAGTCTCAATTATATCACTTCTTTTCCCGACGCTTGTAATTTAAATTGTAAATGTAAAACTCACTCTAAAACAAGAAAAAGCTGTACAAGAAAGCTTAGTTAGGCAAATGTACAATTAAAATCAATAGCTAAAAAGCTATTAGTCCAAAAATGATACAATTTTAAGGGAGACACCTTCTAGCCGGAAGAATATAAACTTTTTAAGCAGAAGAATTAAAAGAAACGT